CTATGACTTATTTTATTTTATTTTTAAGAAACATATGCCTTTGAAGATATTTATATAATACCGAATAAAACTTTTAAATGATAATAATATATAATTTGATAATCACCTTCGAATCAAATATTTATTTTTGAACTCTCTATTTTTTATCCACAGCGTGTAATATAAGTACATACCACAAAATGGTAGAGCGTTTTAGGTAATGTCGGATGCTACGAATTTTGTAGCAGTGCTACGTAATCGCTACGACCTACGTAGAATCTAATATTATTATGTTCTACGTAGGTCGCAGCGATTACGTAGCAATGTATGTTACTAACCGCTGCTTGTGGCTTGACCCGGGCGAACCCTTTATTTTCTGTTCTATTGGAAAATTCGGAAAATACGTTTAAGTTACCGGGAACACTAAGAAGTTATTACTATTGTTACATGAGAAACTTTGTGCAAAGTTTCATATTTCTCGATCCAACAGTTTCTCTTGTAGTCTTGATCAGTTGGTCAACTAATTTCTATTTTATATAAATTATTATTATAAAGAAAAAATATTCTACTTTATATATTTTAAAATTAACTTAAAAAAAAAACTTATTTGACAAATCTTTTACCTGTAGAAAGCTACATTATTAGCGAGCAAAAATTGACTATATTTTATTTTTAATACTACCGTGTGAAGCCGAGACACCCTTTCTTATCCCGTGGGTGTCGTAAGAGGCGACTAAGGGATCTTAATAGTCGAGAGGTATGCAGCAGCGTCCTTCTTAAAACATCAACAAAGCCTAACTGCGGTTAGCATCGCTTCTGCTAAGTGTGGCAACTATTGGCAGAACCTTCTTTTATAAGGTGAGAACTATGTTCAGATGTAGATAGTTAATAACTGATACGATGATGATGTTAATAAACCTGAATAAAAATATATTTTACGAATATCTTGTATAATAAAAATTATATTATAAATTTTTAATTAGTTCTATGTTGGTAAATTGTAATCACAAAAAAACCGATATATAAATTTTTAATTCAAAAGACAATTATTGTTTAAATTAAGTGGAAGGTTAAAAAAATATGTCATATAAGTCTATAAAATTCTATGTGACTTTTAGAAGTATAAGTTATCGTAAGTGTAAGTTGCTTTTTTATTATTTTCGAAATTTATGTTCATTTTTTAACGATGTTTATATTTATGTATGTGACATAAGGGGAATTTTATGGACTTATTGTATTTGTCGTTTACGACTATTGTTTGTTCTTTTTGTTCCAGTGAATAAAAGTATTGTGGTTTCACGAGCGAAATCGCGAGAAGTATCTAGTTATAAATAATATTTTATAAATTAAACTGTTGATATAATGTTGGGTTCTATTACAGAACTTGATCACTGTCTCTCAGTTAAATACTCATTTACTTCGTTATAACAAGTTCAAATTCTTTAGTGCTACGTTAGCTACAGTGAAACCTCTACAAGTATGTTATGATCAGATTTTATAATCAAATTAATCTTTAAACATTTTGAAATAACAATATCAGAGTGGCCTATATCTATACTAACTTTATACTACATATAGTCATAGTAATATAGTCAAATAGTGATGTATTAAGTGAGAAATTTAAAGTATCAAATTTCTCACTGTAACTTTACATTTTATGTGCGCCAACATTGTATAAATACGCAATAATCTTAATTTTTACATCTAAAAAGCAATAAAATAAAGTTACTACTGGATATAAATATAAAATTGCAATTCCGAAGTATCGTTTAGAAATATTTTAAAGATATTTTGAACCGACTTTTAAAAGAGGGAAATTCTCAATTCAGTTATATATATTTTTTATATTTGTTACCTCATAACTCCATCAGTTGTAAACCGATTTAGAAAATTATTTTTGGATCTGAAAGGATATACTTACAGATTAATCTCAAACGAATTTTATCAAAATTGGTTTAATAGTTTAGTTTTTAAATCAAAATAACTAGTTTTGAAACAACGGAAGGTTTTTTTTTGTGAGATTACATTTTTAATTATAATGGAATGGATTCTTGATACGATAAAATGTAATAGAATGATTATATATTATATTAGATGTTATAGAATATTTATAAATAAATATTTATTGAACATCTATATTTATAAATGTACAATGTTCATAAAATATTTATTTAGTAAAAAGTATGTTTACTTAACGTTTACTTAAAACACTAATGTGCTTTCCGTTAGTTAATTATACATGACGTTTTCTAAATAAACGTCATGTATTCGAAATATATAAATTCATACATAAATAAACTCCATGTTAATAGACTGTCTTGGTTGAAGTAATTGATCTTTGAATGAAGAACAATCAAATATATACAGCAATTTACAGTCTCAAAATTACAATCAATTTTGAGACTGTAAAATGATCAAAAATTAAACTGTAAAATAAGAGAGTATGTGTCTAACTTTAAACGAATTAAAATTATCAATAAAATACTTTCTAAAGTAAATAAAGCGCTAAGCTGTAAGAGCTAACAGATTCAATTAGGGTTTTCAATTAAATATAAAATGTATTTCTTTTTTTTTTCGAGGTAATCTTACAGTTATTACAACTTAATAATTAAATGTATAATTAACAGTATGCCAATTAAAAACTATCACATATAGTTAACAAAAATTTATATTAGTTTCAGTTTATATAATTAATGAGTAAGCAAATTAAAGCAAGCTAAATATTATTAAAAAGAATATAAGAGTGAATAATTTGCAGCGGTTTTTTTTTATATAACTGCTACTACTAATAACTAGTACTATATACATTTTTTATACAACTATGGTGGCAAATAAGTACATGGTCCATCTGATGATAAATGGGGTTACTGTAGTCTATAGATGCCTGTAACACCAGGGATGTCACACGTGCGTTGCCGACCCTTAAGAAACCTTAATACGGTCTTTCTGAAGGACCCCATGCTGTAGTCTCTAGGGAAAGCCTCGGCAGATAGATTATTTCACAACCTGATGTTCGCGGGAGAAAACTCCTCTGAAACCGCGCCGAAAAAATAAGCTCGAATTATGAAACGGTTACTTCTGTACTGGGTACAAGTCAGTGAAATATTAAAAAGTCTAAACTGACGCGAGTTAGTATGGTTTAAATACATGATTATGAACATATGATTTTGTGCATCGTCGTTCGTGTTTTTTCTATTGTTGTAAAATAGATAGGATGTATGGATGTTACTCTTTCACGTAAAAATAACGAATTTGAATCAACTTGCTTAGACGGTTAATTATATCCTAACTTAGCATATAGGATACTTTGTCTATTGATTCATACAGATGAAGTCACGGGATACAACTAGTAAATCATAAACATAAAATAAATTCAATGTTTGCTTAATATTACAAAATAACGACTGTGTTTCGCTTTAATATAAAGATGTAATTATAAGTAATGACAAGTTGATTTGATTTGACGAGATTCATTTACTTAATCAAGTAAATTAATAACACAGTGCTCATACTGTATTTATAATATTATAGATAATATTACAAAGACAAGGTAAACACTATTCACTAATTAATCTAGAATATTCTGTTACATAGAGAGAAATAGCAATTATAATTTTCCTTTGTCATGGGTGCTTTTTTAGAAAAATTGATATTTTTTTTCATAAAAAAAATTTACTCAAAATATGGGTAAAACTTTTGAATTTACCTATACATTATTTGTTGACAAATTCTTTTTTTAATATTCCATTACGCAAAATGATATTAAATTATCTAGTTTTTATCTAATTTATAATATATATTATATAATTTTCTAAAAAAAACTTAATTAAAATATGAGTTAAAATTTTGAATGTGCTAGATTAAAATGTATATATAATTCATACTTTGACTTAAATTTGAAAATATGATAAAAAAATTCCTAACAGTTATATTAGCTATAGAAAATTCTAAAATGTATGTCATATTTCTTAGAATACATTCAGTTGTTACACTGTTAGAGTACCCCTTAAAAGGATGCTGTTTATTTATATATATTTCACCCCGTATTAAGTTTACTTATACGAAATACAATTTTGTAAATGATATTTGAATGTATTTGAGTAAAGAAAATATTTACTTACGTTCAGCGACATTCGTAAGTGTATCCAAAAAAAAAACATTCGTTCCATTTTCAAATTCTGATATATTTTCTTTTTATATTCTTACATTTGGAGCCTCTGAGAGATGATAGAGGTTTTTTTTTTGCCAAAAGGTGATTTTTGGCTGCAACCAGCATCATTTTTTAATTTTATTTATTAGTAAAAATATATTTTCATTATTGTCGTTCTATCAGCTATATATGTATAACTATAAATATACTGAGATATCTGTTCACTACTGAACTTGGGCTTGCCAGTAGTTGCCACGCTTGGCGGGCGGGTTGGCTACAATAAAAAAAAATATGGTATTTTGTTTGTCCATCTACGCTCAATTACCGTGGAAATAATAATTGTAATGCATTAAAACTGCATTTATTGAAAATACATACATGTACAGTAATAATTATTATCCTCAATTATTTTCTTGGCCTCGGTAGTTATCCTATTTTTGCTGATTTTATATTGATATTTTGTTCCCGTATAATTCACTTTCTGAAACTATTTTGTTTAGGGAACAAAATCTCCCATCTCAGTTTTATGCGATATCTGTAATATAGTTTCTTTCTTATTTTTTGTATTATATTATATATAGACATTTTATAACACTTTCATGTATTAATTTATTATTATTTTTTTTTTGTAAATTGAGTAAATATTTATTTTCGTATATTAATAAATTTTTAGTACTTTCAGATAGGGACTATAAATTAAATTGATGAATAATCGACACACAAATGAAATATACAAAATAAAAATTTTATCTCGATTTTATAGCGGTATCTAAAAAAAATTCAGGTAATATTTTTATTTATTTTTTTCTTATTTTTATTTAACAACTAATGTCTAATAAATATAATATAAAAAAAAACATTAAATACTTACAATGTAGCGCAAAGGGGGCACATAGCCGAGAGCGCACGAGTGTTCGCCCGCCGCCCGGCCGCGCCGCCGCGCTACCGCATGACTCCAGCCCGCCAGATTCCGCGCGCAAAATGCCCGCGCGTGAAATGCCCGCGCGCGAAACTCCCGCGCGTGAATTACCCGCGCGCGAAACTCCCGCGCGTGAACAACTCGCGCGTGAAGCCCCCGTGATCGCAGTCCACGTAACGCCACGCCAAACAGTCCGACTGTTGACAATTCACATAACGTTTCGTCACTACAATTGTACTTACTCAAACGGTACGTTCTTATCCAAATTCATTCCTAACAACTTATTGGCTTCCAGTCCACCAAGGGAATCGTCGGGCGATTGCTAACATGACACTTGTACGTTAATAATATATGAAAACTTTGTCGTAACGCGTTCGCACATTGTCGCATTGCAGGAAAACGTATTTCGTTCCCCGGCTGAAAGTAATTCGAGGCATTATCGCAATTTGGACTTGTGTTTTTGCCCCCGACATTGCAAGGGCCAGATATTAATTTTACATGCAGTAACTATGGATGTACGGGGAACGTGGAACGCGGCGTAGCGACTCGTGCCGTAATGGTACGAAATAAATACTCACATTAGCATGCCAGCGTCGGCCTCCCGGTTATCAACTATCGTTAACGTAAACAATTGAACACACAATCATTTTGTCGAGTGGCGCGACGCGATATCACATGCCGGTCGGACGCGGATCGAAGGAGCTCGGGCCGGCGGTCGGGCCCGGCTCGTTAGAGCATCGGCCCTGGGGGCTCGGCGCCTAGGGCTGCCACCGCCACCACACCGTATGCGGCGTTTGCTTGCTAAATGAGCGGATTAGGTGTGCGCGGGGCGGAAGTGTCGGAGGCGACACGCGCGTCGTTGCCACTGCAGGCCGCCACTGAGGCGGGGCGGCCCGGGACAGCCGCCCCGCGCCTCTCCGCGCACCCGCTGAAACCCTCCCGCGCCACCCCGCCCGCCATGTGCCCGGAGCGCGCTCAGCCTCTCGCCTCGCAAAGGGTTGTCGGCAAAGGGAAATTGCTACTATCGTCTTTTTGTCGTGTCGACAATTGGCCGTGCTTTAGGCTCCTTTGAACCACCGCTTTCTCTTTGACCGGCAATCTGAGCTGTTCATTTCTTATTACGTCAGATGTTAACGGTGGATTATTTTTATGTTTTATAAATCGTTGCGTTAAATATTAAATTGTGTATGCGTTTATTTTCTGTCATGTATTGAGGTCGATGGGTTATGTAACGGCGTGCGGCTGCCATGGCCTTTCCGCAGACGCAGCGCGCCTCGGAAAACCCCTAACGCAGCCCTTAAATTTCTAGTGAAACGTTGCGAATGAGACCGAAGGATACCGAGCGCGCACGAGCGGCGGGCCGAGCTCGGCCGAACTCGCTCCACCGGCGCCGCCCAGTCGATAAGGCCGTCTCCACTCGCAGAACAAAGACACTAACCTATAATAATTACATTTAATTAAGGATAACTCGACTATTTTGTATAATAAGCATATCGCGCTGCAGCGTAAATGGCAGATTTCGCGCCTGTAATGTATGTAAATGATTTGCGTTGTAACTATTTTGGAGCGGGACGACTCTCTCATTTTTTACTGTTATCAGAATAATAAACAATTCCTCGTCAGCGAAAATATTAAAAGCCTAAGTAAATAGGATTATTTAAGGATACATAGGTAATTTTAATAATTTTTTTTCTAGATAAAAATAAAGGCGTATCTAAATTCATGGAGGTTTATTAAATCATTTTAATCTAATATCTATTTTTCTTTTTTTAAAAATAGGAGCGTTACCTTGGTTTATTTATTTATTATTTATACATTAATTACCTGATTTAAAATTTAAATATGAAAGTATATTTTAACATTTATTATTAAGCTTGCTTTTAGACCAAGTTCGGCCATAAATCTAGACGTATTTACATTGAATCAGTCATGATCCTTTCCGTATATTGACTGAATTTTCGACCACGACAATGTCGCGCAATCAACCGCTCAGTGTTGTTGGCAATAAAGTTCATATTAGTTTGACAAACTGTTTATAAACACATCAGAAAACACATCAAGAGTACATCAGTAGACATTGCCATGTCATAGTTTATGGGTAAGTTACTTTTTGAAGAGTGGAATGTCGTGTTTGCTATCTTGTGATAATGTTTTATTAGTAAAGGTCATTTTAACTTTACGTTAGCGTATTCACTTTAAATTTGTAGTAGAAATAATTTAGAATTATTGAGTTACTGTTAATACATTTATATAGATATTTAGCTTGTAAATGACTTTTCCATATCTCTTATATAATACAATCAACTGATTTAAAAAAATAAATGAAGTTCTTAATTTTGTTGTATTTTTTTATGTTTGTTACCTCATAGCTCTATAGAAATTTTGTCAAAATCGGTTTTTTTTTTATACAACTTAGAATGGCAAACAAGCCGATGGCCCACCTGATGGAAAG